AATGACTGTGTGATCATGGCCTGAGGAATCCTACACAGGGCGAATGTAAGGCAGAACTTAGTCTGTTCAGTTCTTATGTTGCTTCTACTGAGACTGCCAGAAAAAGTGAGCAACTGATGCTCTCGTTTTGTGTAATCTTGGTAGTCTTTTTTATGTTGACACTTACTATTTCTGCAGTAACGAGATACATGTCAACAAGGCACTCACGGAAGCCCTCAAAACTTATCCAAAGGAAGTTACTGCGTTACTTCCTAAAACACGTCTTTCCCCAGATAAACTAAGCCCGGTACAAATTCTAAACTTCCTTTTGAAAATTCATCCACCATCTAAGTGGTTAGCAGGGAAAAGATGATGTTTAAAACATGCGAATATGTTAGGTGTCATCTGGCTTTTCCAATGGCTTAGTGGCAGATAAGCTACTTAGTCAGTATTGCTTGAGCTAGCCCCACCCCAGGACAGTAACATTGGGCTGTGTTTTCGTTTTTGAGAATTTGGTATAAGTTTTCTTCCTTGTTACTCTCACTACCGGACACAATGCGTCTGTTTTTTTGGAAGAGCCACAAAAAAACCCCAAGTCTTGTAAAAGTTCTGTGCAATTTGTCATTAATTTTTCTTGCATCTGTCTTAAGACAGTGTCCAGAGGTTTTAAAATAAGAGCTATGTGTATCCACAATCCAGGTGTCCCCAGAAGCTGCAGGTACTTAACATATAAAAATCTGGCCCAAAATTTCTGTATTTATGATATTCAAAATTCTTTGTGAGTTTTTAACAAAGCCAAATTGTGTTTTGTTGTCATCAGAACCCACAGTGATAAAGAGAGATCTGATAAAGCACTAGGAAGTTTTCTCTTTGTGTATAAATATTTATGTATGTAAATGGATGTATGCTTAATTATAACTGACAAGAGGAGACTGACACAAACTCAGATCCTCTGTCCCCATGGAGAGATAGAACTCGCTTGTTGAAGTGTTGTGGCACATCTCATGGGCTGTGTACTGAATCATTGATTAAAAGCTGCAGCATCTGGATAGCTAAAATGCCAGTGACTATTGAAGAAGGAGGAAAGAATATGTACTGAATAAGAACACAAAGAAATCATCTGGTTTCTATTTCATAGATTGATCAAGAGCTGAACTGCTTGTTTTCACTTTATGTTTCACTGAAGATTGGACCTAAAAGGGAGGTATTTTGCTCTTTAAATTAGTGACTGGGCACGTGATACAGCATTATTGATTAAACATGTCTGCATTGAAAGCAGCAACTGCCCTACTGGAAAGCTGCTGTGCAGAGAAAGCAAATAACCACAGGTATGGCAAGGAAAATTTAATTCTGCAGACTAAAGAAGAATTAGTAGGTAAAAATATCAAATGAATATTTAAGCCGAAGTTGATAGCTAGAAAAGCAAATCAAGGTTATTTAGAATAAAATTTGCTTCTTCTCTCCTTCAGCTGGAAACCAAAAATAAGATAAACAAAGAAACTGAGATTCTATTTTAATGCAAATTATCTTTGCCTTTGAAAAATGAAGGAAGAGGCATGTATAATTCTGACAACTTTTTCTAGTAGGTTTTCCTGAGTTAAAGAGAAGATGTAGCTTTCTGTAAAGGTTAGGTGGAGTCCCAAAACAGAAACGAAGTTCTTGCTAGGAACTCCTTCAGAGGTTGAGTAAGGCTTAGGAATATCACTGACCTTCTGATTTGTATGAGAATTATTGAAAAGTAGCAGATCAAGTAAACACGCATAAAAACAGCCAGCAATCAGTAGCTGAAAATAATTGCCTTATTTGTATGAAAAGGGATAATAATTGTGCATGCAAACAATTTTAGATGAATAATTGCAAGCCTTGCTTGAAAGAATTATCTGTGAACAGTGGTTCTGGTCAAGAAGTGAAGGGATTGCAGTGTATTGTTTTATCCCTGAATAATGAAACAGAGTAGGATAGTGAAACAGACTTGATCACAGGACTGGCAAACTGGAATGGATGAAGTCTTTTACTTTCACAGTACTCTATTTGCTATCAAAATAGCAAGAGATCAAGGAACCACTGTTTAGAAGATGGACAAACATCTAGCAAAAAGAGGTCCCTATCCAAAAGAGCTTGGAAATTTTAAAGAGACAAAGACGTGAAATGTCAAAAAGTAGCTATTACTACTCTTTGCTGTAAGCCTAGAAAAAACAAGATTACCGAAGTCTGATACTCTGGCTATACTGACAGAGGTGACCATAAGGTCACCCTAAAACTGAAACCTACCTACTGTCTACGCTAGCCGCTCTTCAGCTTGAGTCTTAAAAACATTGCTAGAGGCCAAAGCCTGATGGAGACCCTGGTTTCCAGTCCTGTCCATCCTGCAGCATGTAGAGAACCCATCCAGATAACAGGAAATACGTCAAGAGCAGCACTAAGATGACCAGTTCTTTCCACTCTACTCCCTATATCCACAGCCTCTAGTTAGAGAAAAGTCTGAGAGGAGAGACAAGCCTTATTCCTAGAAAGAAGGAAGATTAAGAAACTTAGTGCAAACTACTGTTATATGGTCCATAGTGCATGATTTAAAAGTGAATGACATCTCCCAGGGCAGTATGAGAACAACTCCTGCAGTTGACTTTTGCAGTGTACACGGACTTTGAATCTGCTTCTGTATTTGCAAAATATTTACATATACCTAAAATTTTTGAATGAAGATGAACCGACGGTTTTCTGTTACTTTTATTACTGTGCTTTTCATTTGGGAGTAACCTGTTTGGCTCTTTTGCCAGGCACATCGACAGGAGAATTCCATTTCACTTCTGATTGTACCCTTTAATATTCTTACAACGCTATCTGAAGGGAAAAGAAATGTTTAGATTCTGTAATCCCAAGTGAAATTTGCAGTGCTCCTCGGAATCATATTTAGAGTTACAATGTATGTGTTAGATTAGAAATGACAGAAAACAAATAGGGGATCTGATGGTATTGGGTCTATTTGATCTTTAGGCTATCAAGCCCCAAGCCCCTTAGCTGACCTAAGTTTGCCAATGCAATATATCAAACTTGCAATATATCACATTTCATGAATAGAAATTAATATATTTTCTCGTCTAAAGAAGGTCTCAATTCATATAACACTCCAACTTCTGTGTGCCCCACAAACTGTCAAGGGACAGTAGTACTGTCTGCGACAAATGTCAAGTATTTTGGGGGCTTTTTCTTGCAGGCTGGGGCAGAAGGACAGGGATAACCTCGCGCCATATGCTCATTTTGCATGGGATTATTGAGGATGATTTATTATGTGTCATCCGACTGGTTCTAGACCTCATTTTACTCTGCCTTAAGCTACAAATCCTGGGTGACATAGGGACCCTAGGGATAAAAAGACATCTCATGTTATTTGCGCCGGCCTCTGTAGGATAACTAGAAGTGGTACAGTTGTTCAGGGATAGCACAAACTACGTGATAGGCTTAAAGCAAAATACAGATAGATATTGCATAGTAACTAAACAAAAAAAGACATGAGAAGGGTTGATAGCTGTGTTAGGAAGAAGAAGAAAAGAAAATAGCTTTTAATCCCCAGCTTGAATTCTCTCTCTCCAATGCAACAAAAGAGTGGCAAAAAAGAATGCTGCTAAGAGGCTTCTCTGTATTCGTGTCTCACACATAAGACAAGTAGTGTTGTTGCAAAAATGTACGTCTGTGTCACATGGCACAAGCTACTGACTCCACTGGTTATTGTAAATATCAAGTACTAAAACATGAACTCTAAATAAGTACGTTGTGGTAGAGGTACAGTCTCTCAAATACGATTTTTCGTGTCATTTTCCACTCTTCTTTCCACTTTCAGTTCATTTTCTATAATTCAATCTATCTTTGACCTCTCTGCTAATATGAAGATTGTTGGCCAGTACTGAATGTATCAGTAATTTTGTACTATAGGTACCTGTTTACAGAAGCTGGATTGTTCACTTCGCAATCAAAGAGAATTATTTGCTGATAACTTCAATAATTGTGTTTTCAGTTGGATTTCAAATTATCTTCTAAAGTTGGAGAAATTCCTAGCACTGCGCCGATTATCTAAACTGCATTTCTGTCCGTCCCAGCTGCCTTATTTAGTTAACTGCTTTTGTTTCTTTTTGGGAAATGCTTGCCAATGTATTACTGTACAGCCTCTGAGTCCTCATGACAGAGTATCTTTTCTTGCATGTTCAAGGAAAAAGAGGTAGGGCTGCTTTAAGGGGCTTATTAAACTATGTCCCCCCATGAAAGGTTATATAAACTCTGTGCCCTTTCACCTGAGCTACTTATGTGTCTGGATTAATTATTCTGGATCCCTTGCACCTTGTCTTTTTTTCCCTGCAAGTCTTGATAAAAAGAAAAATGGCAGGTAAGAAATACAACTGTACAAGCATCTACTTCATGGTGATGTTTCATCCTTGAAACTTTTTTTTAACTGCATGTAGTTTGCTCACCTAAAAACAGAGCTATTAAAACAGTGCTATTAAACAGTGCTATTGAAACAAAAAAAAACCAAACCCCAATATAGATTAGAAGACCAATAAGCAATCCTAACACACGGTTGCCAAGGGTTACTTAAATTCGGAGAGTTGTATCTATTTAATTCAAAAGATACATCAATTTAATAGCTATCATTTATGAGTAAATGTATAAAGGTGTGTAGCTGAAGATGCACAATACTCCTGCATGACGTTTTTAGGACATAGAAGAGAACTATTTCCTTTTAATACTTTGATTTGCTTTTATAGCATGGCATCACAGTCTGCTTATGCATTCTTTGCAACAGTAATGTTTTTAACTCTGCTGCGTTTTGTTTTTCTCTATTTTTGTCATTTCCTGATGAATGGCTCTGTGATTTGTGATGTGACAGTCTGATAATGATGTACCATCATCATTATACATGTTCGCTGTCACATATCCCTTTATTGAAATAAGGCTGTTACTGATGTTGGCATTTCTGGAATAACAGTGTGTCATGTGGTGTTTTATTGCTTTACAGAGTAAGTTCAGAAGTCTTCTCTTTGAATCCCTGATTCAAGAAATATAGGAAAAAGACTGGACCAAAACTTATGTTAGCATGAAGATTACTCTGGATCTAAACCTGTGAAACTGTTTTGATATGCATTGTTCAACAGTGTGAGACCACTAGGATGCTGTAACCTTATTTCTACCTTTTTTTTCCTGAGGTAAATAAACTCTGGGTTTGGGGTTCTGTATGCGATCTATTTTGAGTTTTTAAAATTCATTCTTGGGTGGAAGAGGATAAGACTTTCAGAAATACTTAAAGTTTCTGAAATTATTTTCTTGTGTTTTTTGTGTCTTACTTATTTTTCTCTATTAATCAAAAAAAACCCACATTTTTACAAGCATTGTTCTCTATTACAGTCTATACAGTATGGCCGTTATTTTGTTTTACATTATTCTCATTGTTTTTCCCATTTTGAGTCCCTCCTTTCTACGCTAACCAGAGGAAGAACAGTGAGAATAATGTAAAACAAATGCAAAACTGAGTCACAGAATTCTCAAATGATGTTCTTCCTTAAGAAATGACATTAGCATATATTTTTCTCTACTTTGTTCTAGAGCTTACCTTATAGGGACAGATAGCGTACACCAATCTTGGGTGTCTGTTGCCTTTTTGTGAACAACTGACCCAGATCATAGAATTCCACAACCATCCAGTCTGAAAAAGAACCAGCATAGCAGCATGAATTTAGGGGAAATGGTTGATATACTTGAGATAGTGCTGAAAACTGAAAAGAGAGTAAAGATGTGATGAGGAGAAAAGAAGTGCAGCAGACTCAGTGAGGAAAGAATTAGCTTGCGTAATCCCTCCACGTATAATTATGTGTCTTCCTACATGCTTAGGTATCTGCTCTTTCCTGGCTCTACTGCAATCCACTGTCTATGGTGAAAAGAAATTTAATTAAACAAAAAAATCTTTTTTTAATTCTTAGGTATTTCATATCAATATTTTGAATTCCTGCAGATACCATTGTCCCCCTTCAAATGTCCAGCAGCCCTCCATAGATGTCTCCATAGTATGTCTCTTCACACTCCTTTATGTGTCTCCTTCTTTTTAAATATCTCAGGATTTTTGGATTCAAATAGGCAACATCACAGGAGAACTTTCAAAGTACTATATAAATCCTATATAAAAAGTCCTATATAAAATCCTATATAAAAATGTAATCCTAGCTAATGCCATGGAAACAAAGCAACTTTGTCTCGCAGAAAACGTCCAACTTCTTTACTGGAAAATTTTCTTTTAAGTGGCTTTCCAGCTGTCTTACCTAATGTTGCACATTATTAAAATAGCACAAGCAGGAATATACACTAGTAAGTTTTAACTCCAGTCTTTTACATTTAACTACTAAATGTGCTCACTTGAGGATACAGTATCTGGAATGCTGCTTGAGGCTCATTTTTGCTCCAATTGTTTTCTTTATTAAATATAATTTATGCGTTACTTAAGCCTCTTATCTTCTGTCTGGGCAGTCATAGAAATTTACTTAGAACGTCTTACTCAACAGTGAGGCTTCATATTAGTTTGTCAAGTACACACTGCCACCAAGAAAAGGTTCTGTTCTGCCCTCTGCTCCTCCCTGCATACTTGTGTCGTCTGCTTTTGCATCAGAACTAGTTCTTGCACAGCCATGCAGACAGCCAGAGCATGGAGCAAATCCTAATGAAAGGTAGGAAAAAAAATACACTTACGTTTCCACTGTATCATCTCCTTGAGCTGGCTGTGCACATGGCAGGGAGCAGTACTGTGCTAATGAAAGGGAGGGAAACAGGGAACAAATAGTCCAGGGTACGATATCATTGCCCCTTGGGCAGCACGGTGGCCTGGAGGAGGCTTAAGCTGGATCTGCATCTATGTCTCAAGGCAACCAGGCAGCAAGCAGCATGGAAATTCACCAACAGAGAGCTGTTAAATCATCAGCAGAATAAAAGCTTGGATTACAGTTTAGGAGGAGGTAACTGTGTCAATAATTATAATACTTGCTTTTTATCCTAAACCTCAGAATGATGCACAGGCCAAAGCTGTGAGGTTTGTTTGTGTTTAGGAGATAAATGGACAATAAAAAGTTAATACTTACCATAGCCAAATCCTCTGCCCCATTCTTAAGAGTTAGATTGTGAGCAATATATACATGTGATGTACCTTGGCACTTCCACTATGGTATCCTTAATCCTACATGTAACAACTGGGAACACATTTAAATCTAGAACACTGTGGGGCTCCCTATTGCTGCTTTTGCTGGAAGACTTTCCTATTTTGTCACTGCTACATAGGGTTCAATGCTAAATATATTTCAGGATATGTACCAAGACACACTGTCTGCTTCAGTCCTTCTGGCTTCTCAGTGAAACACTGGGTATGCACATGTTGTCCCTGAGCTGCTCAGAGCCAGGGCTCTGGGGATCCCTCCCAATCCTTGTGTGGAAAAACAGTCCTGTTAATGGCAAATTCTGGTTGCGGAGTCAGTAACAACATATATTGTGGATGCATGTAGTAAGGGGATCCTCTTAGCAGGATAAGGAGTTAGTAGCCTGTGTTGAAGGGGACACAATCTGTGAGGTACAACCCTCACAGCAGAGGTGCTTTAGTCCTTTGTCACACAGCCTCTGTGCTATAGCTGATCGCAGCCCTTTCCTCAATGCCTTCGCAACAGCTAATATGGTGGATGTGAAGAACCTGGTGATGGCTTGTCTTGAAGGTGATCTTCTATATAGAGGCAGAGGAGGCTACTGCAAGCTTGTGGCCCTTTTTCTTCCGTTTCTCCATGGATTTTTCTGCTCATTATTTCTATATGTGACAAGAGACAGACTCAACAAAGAGTTTTCTGAAACAAAACAAAAGTAAAATTCTTAAGCTAAAAAAGTCAGGCATTGCTAATGCAGATCCAGCATTTAGGTTTTACTGAATTAAGGATGATATGGTCCCAGGTACAAGGAAATTGCAACTTAAGCACTGACAAAGCACGAGGATCCCTAACAAGGGAAAGAAAAAAAGCATTTTGCTAGACGTTTGTTCATGCTTTGTGACGGCTCTCTTATATATCTTTTTATACTTCAAATCTTTTTTTCCTCTCTTAGCATTATAGTCATTAACCAGAAAAATGTTTTTTATGAATGTCTCTGATTTTCTCATGACGCTTTTCCCTTTCTTTCTTTTCCTCCTTTACTGTCTGTTGGCAGCTTTATTCCTTATAGGTTCTTTCTTACTCCAGTAGTAGACCTGCATATGTTAGCTTACACCTTCTGCGTTTGCTGAAACCCTAACAGCCCTAGAAAGCCAGCATAGCTCTAGTGTTTTACTTTGGCAAAGTTCCCTCTTCATAAAACCAGATAGGTACTGTAGGTTAAAAACTATTTGCAAGGATGATGCAAGTGCAGCTAGCACTTCACCTATTCCAACTCTCTATTGCAAGCCCTTTATTGCAACCTCTGCTTCTTACTATACACGTCATGTAAACTCTGTCATCATTCTGTATTTTTTGTGTCCTTTCTGTCCTTTTTGTGTCCTTCTGGTGTGCTGGATTCAGAAGTTACTAATGCATACTTCACCCTTGAAAGAGTTCTTCAGGTAGGGTGATTTTTAGAGCTAATCTCCCATTTGTATTATTACTGCCAAAGGGGGATTTGCTTCCATGCTTTTGCTGCCTTCTTGTCTTGTTGGCCTTTTATACTGCTATCAGCCTTATTTCTTTTGACCCTCCTATGACAAGTCAGTTGATGGCAAAAGCTTTATCTTTTCTTTCTCATTCTTGCCTTCATGCTCCTATGCATGCTACCTGTCTGCTTCTGTTACACAGCTGTCTTTTAGAGCTTAGGCTCTTCTACTGTCTTGAATCTGTAGTTATTTCACATGTCCTGTATTCCACTACAATTTGGATTATCTTAGGCCGCTGTGTTATGGTGCTTTAATGATTTGATCTGGTCATAGTCTTGTATGTAGTCTATTTAAATTGAAATCAGTGGTAGGATATGAACACAGGGGTAACGCTTGTTTATTTTTCTGTTGACTTTGAAGCTTCCATTTGCAATTTACTTAATCATTCTTTTTGTATATAGCAGTTTGCAGAAGCGTAAACACTGGGTGTAGCCAAAAAGCCTAATGAATCTTATGCATTTTAGGAAGATGTATTAAAATGTTATTATGGAAATTCAGAAACAATTTTCTAGTCTAGAATATAGAGCAAAATTATTTCAAGCCCCTCAAATTCTGAATCTCAAAAAACTGGTTCTTCATTGCCATGAAAAAAAATCTTTCCCTGGCATTTATAGATCCAGCTGTGAAATGTATGTATGAGTGTTACTAATTAGATTTCCTAATAGATTTAGATGTTCTTTAGCACAAATGCAAATTAATGCTTCACATAAAAAGTGATGAGGTCCACGGATTAAAAATGTTAAGATGGGGGTAGCTGATGGACTTGACCAGCAGAAACCAAATTCAACACTGCCGTTTGACTGCAAATTCAAGGTTGTAATACATAACAGGTATAAAGGAGATGCTGCTTAAATTAACAAGTAAAGCTTTATGAGACCTCAAATCTTGAATAATTGGAAGGTATTGCAAGTTAAGATTAGATATATTATCAGAATCTGGAATATGACCAGAGTAACTATTATACAATAAATATTATACAATAAATAAGGATAGAAGAAACAGAGAAGCAAAGGCAAGCAAGTAAGGAGAGACCAGAACTATAGTAAGAGAAAGGCAGCAGCTGAGAACTGAAGCAATGCAGCAGAAATAGGGAAGCATACCAGTTAGCACAGCTGTGAGGAGCTTCAGGAGCCTAGGATTGGAAGAGTGGAGGTTAGTTCAAGTTTATTTTAAGAAGTGTTAACAGACAGTTCTGTATCATAATGCCCATAAGGGGGAAAGAATGGATGCTGCAGGTTACATTTAAACTTTCAAATTTAACCTTTTTAAACCATCCTTTGTGACCCAAAAGGAGGTGGTCTCCTTCTCAAAATTGCTAAACTGGTTTTGCTCCTATTGTCTAGTAGGAACAACGGGATACAGAATCTTGCGAAGTCTGACATTTTTGTAATGCTATCTCAAAATGGAAATAGAAATCCTAACTTTAGCTTTGGCTGTCCAGATTTGGAAAGTTTGGCTTAAGGCCTCAGGTAGCACCTATATGACATGCTCAGAACTAAAATAGCTGTCAGTCAGCTTGAATGCTTAAAATATTTCCTCTATGTATACCTGGTTTACATCCATTTTAGTATCCGCTAGCTACAACATTATCCATACTTTTTATTATAAAAACAAAATAAAGTAGCTCACTTAATTTAATCTGTTTTTAACAGTAAATCATCGGCAAGATATTTTGACAGACGTGACACTGACTACATTTGATATAATACGATGTAGGCTCCTCTTTGACTTAATTCCAAAATACAACATATGGAAGAGATTTTTCATTATTATTATTTTTATCCAAAACTTGCCATTTTTATCACAAATCTGAAATTCTTATTTTCTTAAGGAATAAACAGATCTCAGCTGATGGGCAGCACTCCAGTCAAAAGTGTTCCAGAGACAGTAACTGCTAGTAACACTACTTTCCAGCATCTGTGGGTGTCAGATATGCATGAATAAAAGGTATACTAAATATTCTCGGGAAATTTATCACTCTACTGTTTTGAGGGGAATGTATTTATAAAATATGATATAAAATACAATGTAATGTAATATAATAATATAACAATGTAACATAATATAACAATATAATGAAACAGGAGTCATAAAGAGTCTCTTTAAACTCACCACTGTTGCTCCACAATCTTCTTTTAGTAATTATAACATTCAGAGTATAAAGTAAATGAGTTGCTTTACAAAACCAAAAGTATTCTGTAGTTTAAGTAGGTGTGAAGTCTGTACCTGGTTTTGTTGGTACCAGTCTCTTTCAGATCGGCCAACAACTAGATTTCACACAATAAAGAGTATTGTCTCAGCTATTTTTTGAGGATATCTATTTAAACTGTGGTAACAGTGTTCAAGGGCTTTTCAAAACAGAAGGAAACATCTGCTTCCTCATAGAATATGCAGCTCTTCTCTCCCTAGAATAGGATTTAGGACACTACCATCCCCAGAGGATATTAATGGGTGCTAGACAACTGTATAAAATGATAGGCTTACATTTTATAATGATTTTTAGATCACCTAATGTTTCCGTTTAAATCAATTACACAAGTGAGGTGGTGATACTTGTACTTAATCCCATGAAACTTTCTGCAAGAATCAAATTGTTAAGCTTGGTAGTCTAGTCAGTAATCAAAAAATAAGAGACTATTTCTGAGGTATAATTCATTCAAAACATTCTTTTCTTCTGCTCACAAAATGCTCAGAAAATTCTCACATAAATTCACAAATACCTACAATAAATTAATTTGGAAAATGTTTTCGCTGTATGACTATCTTGTGAACAGTTTGTGAATATTAATACTTACATTAATTCAGTGTTGTTTAGTCATTTGAGTGATACAATTTCTGTACTCTGAGTGACTTTTGCAGCTTATGAACATGTTCTCCATTTAAAATATTATACGTGAGTAATCAAATTCAAATATATATTTTGAGACTAATTAAGCTTTCGCTTAACTTCATTTTCTGCAAATGAAAGTAAATCTTGATTGGTTTTGAGCTCAAATGAATATTAGTGGATTTTTTTTACATTGCTCAATCAGCTAAAGTAATTACTTTCTTCTGACCTAGATTCTCCCTGCAGTTTCAGTTCAATACAGCCTTCTTCACTTCATTTTCTAGACTGTTGTGTAAAGTTCCTACAGGCTGTGAAGTAGTTGTCACAGTCCACTTCAGAGATGACTTCATTCCTGTGAAATGTATTTATTAAATCATTTGGGAACCTTTGATGAAACATGTCCCTGAGATGTAAGATTTTTCCAGATGCGTTATAATTATAGCATACAATTAAACATTATTAAACCTAAGAATATATTGCTTAAAGTTATGCATTTACTTAGGTATTTATATGGTTAAATAGAGTAGTTTTATTTTTCAAACCTGTAGATCATCTGGTTCTTTTAAAGTCAATGAGAAACATATATACTTAATGCTTATTTTAGTAAGTAGGGCCTCATATTTAGGCATTCACATTTGATAATTTTGGCTCTAATATGTCTGTGCCTGTGCTTTTGTCTATTTTTAAACCACACAACATTTCTTTCATTACAAGATGCTGTGAGCGTAGTGTAGTTATTTATAAAGTGCTTTTGAGATGATCAATGGCAGAGGCTGTGTTGTCTATAATAATAATTTTTCCTAGTGATTGTTTTTAAACTAACTTTAATTGAATGCCTGAAAACAGGTTTATTCCTTGGAGACATAGATGGGAAATGCAGGATGGGTGGTACTCAGGTATCAAGGAAGGTTTTCCACTTGAAAACATGGTGGAAAAATGGACTCTGCCATGATGAACCATCTTGCTTCGCTGGTGGCGGAATTGCTTATTGCTGGCCAGCATTGCCAACTTAATCTGTCCCTGTGCAATTAAGAAACCCATCTCTTAGGCTGGGAATCAGAAATTAGCAACGTTTTGGAGTTGTTCTCCTGTTGATGAAAATACCAACAGGGAAGGCGGAGGAAGGAGTCTGCGGGCAAGGGGGAGGGAGCAGGATTTTAAGAAGGGGAAGAATCTGGTGTTTGCATTTTACATGGAAGGTTTCTGTGAAAGCATAACTGGGAGGAATATTTGAGGTCTAAAGCATTCAAGAAACAGAAGAGTATTCAGAAACTGAGAATGAATTTTCTCCCTGCGTATTGTAATCTGGAGTTACTGATTACTTCACATGGGAAATTTTGTCAGCAAAAGCTTCAGAGAATAAATATTATCAGCACTGTTGTAGAGTTGCTAAATAAAAATTTCTTCTTCTAGTATTCTCAGCTCACATATTCACTGCCTTTTCTTGTCACCTAGGAGAATTATGTCATTTTGATGAAAAATCAATTTATGAATCAACCTGCATCTCATATATCTACAGGAGAGCAGTGCATCTTGCCAGGCTTTTCTTTTTGCCCACACAAATGTGTGATTCCAGTCCTTCTAGTTGTCTTAATATTTATTTCACAACTGCAGCAGCAATATCTCTGTATAACATACTCTTCCTCTATAGTAGTGTATTTTCCTGGACAAAACTACCTCTGATAGCTCTTTGCTGATGACATCCTCCTGTACTCTTCCTTTTCCAGGGACAGAACCAAATTAACTGCAAGGATGCCACAATGTCTGAAAAGGATCAGTCCTGGGGAAAAAGACCAGCTCAAATTCAGCTGAGGCAAAACTGAAGTGATACTACCTACTATATTTTCATGCATGTGTGTGTGTTTGTTTATTTTTCTAGAAAGTGTGTTTCTTTCCTCCTAGTCAAGGACCTGACTCTGGTAATCCACAGACCAATCACCTTTAGGCCATATTAGAAAGGCTCACCCTCTGAGGATGTTTTCACACCACAGATAAATTTGAAGGGCAGCAAGAAGCGTGGGGGAACAATGAGGTATACACACAACTCGTTTGTAGAGCAATGGGTACTTCTTTTTATGGGTACTTCATGCAACATCAGTCCCAGTTCAGTATTCTCCAGTGCTAGCTCAAATCCAGCTTTGAACATCATAGTTCTAGCCAAGACACTGCTTTTCAGGACTAATTCAAAAATTTAGTACTTCTCAGTTTGAGGAGTCTTTTTTCTTATACACAGCTATGTTTTCCTTTTTGCAGTTTAATTCTATTGTTATGAATTTCATTTTTGCCTACCTTTCTGTTTCTCTTTATACAAGAAACTCGGAAGCCACGAGAACTCCAGCATTTTCTTAGCTCATTTTGTCCTGAGGCAATCCTATCCAAATGCTTGACGTTGCTCAGCAGTTTAGCTCTGTAATTTCAGAGAACAATCCTCACGTTTCTCAAGTGGATGAGAAGATACTCCAGACATTGCCATCAGCCTCTTGAGTGAGACACAAACTGAGGTCAGAAGGAAAAAAGCTGGCAGCTGAATTAGCTGTGTCTTAGCATTGTTACACTTTGGAACTAATAAATGACACGTGGTGTACAAACGCAGAAGCCACTCAGCAAATTAAGTTTGCAAAAGGGAATAAGTAAAAAGGAAGGAGGCATGGTTAACCTCCTAACCCTACTGTTCCTTTGTTTTAGTACAATCTGTTCTGGACCAAGCTCTGCATTTTTTTAAATGATGTTTCCATTGACTATGTAAATATATAGTTTATTAAGAAATATAATTTAGCTGAAGATTAAAAGAAGCAGTTTAAGAGTTGCAAGTACAAACAGTGAAAAGTAGAAGAACAAAACCAAAAGGAAAAAAGAAATAAAATGAAAATAAGATATACATGCAATTCATTTTCTCTTCTATACTGCAACCCATCTGGCAGACAGATATACCTTCTCTTTTTGCAACTGATACAACATGAAAAAAAGAAATCTCAAACCAACATCAATATTTTAAAAAGCCTAGTTAAGGCAGCACTTGCCCATGCAGCTTACAGCTTAAACTCTTGTCAGTTTTACCAAAATACAGATAAATTATTTTACAATGTTTTACTGCCAGTTGTTCTTTTTAAATAATGGCCTGTGCAGTTATTGGTGCTTGGCCTGATCTATGCAGGATTCATGTTCAAAGGGAAGAACAGACCGGCAGCTATTGGCAAGGAAACAGAAACAGAGAGTTCTTTCAGGTTGTTAACTTTACAGATGGCATGTATTCATTTGCTGCATCCTAATTATTGCCCCTGGACCCATGGCAGCACATGTTCAGCAAAGACCCTCATTTCACCCTCTGGAGACTGTACGCATTGTACAGCTCACTGCTCCATGGATGGAGACAAGGTGGCTATATATAGGTGTGGCCTAGGGCATGCATGAAGGCTGCACGCAAGCGCCCTGATGCCAAATAAAGCTGCTGCCTGTGTGAATCAGATGGTGAGTCAGCAAAGCCTTTGCAGGGAGAGCAGCAGGCACAGCTGCTGCTAGGATACCACGCTTACTACACAGGAAAAGTAACATAAAGTGGGTCTCCTAAGTAATAACTTTTCATTGGGTTTTTTGGGTCTCAGAAAGTGAAGAAATATCTATATTTTGTTGTTCAGTAGAACGATTTCACATTTAACTTTGCAAATTTTTAGAAGATTGAAGTTTGAAAATGTTCTAGTGCTATTAAGGGTAACCCCTGTCCAAAGGGTTACTTTTAGGTTCTGTTAGTGGGGAAGATAAAGGATAGCGTAAGGTATTCGAATGAGCTCAAGCTTGCAAGGTTAGACTTTTGAAACTGGAAACTGCTGGCAAAGTTATGGGGGAGAATCAGCTGCAGTGGTCAGGGAGTGGCAACCATGGCAAATGAAAGACTAACAACTAAGAGCAGATTTAGTTAAAAAAATTCATCTTTGGGAAAGGAACATACTTCCATTAGACCGATGGTCTTGTTGGTGGTCTTTATAAATTGACAGCTGGCCATGGCACTCAGCTAGTAATGCTTCCCGTTAAGATTATGCCTGGGCTTGGTAAAGCAAGGTGAAACAGAAAAGCTTACGCTGGAACATGCGAGGTAAGGAAAGGAGTACACGAGGCAGGATCTGTGGGATACGAGAACAACTGTAACCCCTGTTGACCTGGAGGCGCACTGCTCACTGGGGAGCATGGCCTTTGGGAACCTAGCGAAGAGGAAAAGAGGAAGTCTATGGGTATGAAGCAGAGCAGTGCAATGACTGAGGAAAATGCACTGCTTTGAATCAGTGGATTCCTGAATACATCTGTGAGAGTGAGAAACCCCAAATCATTCTGTCATGCACGCATCTCCACAAAGCATCCCATGCACCTCCGTGTGCAGAATAAAACCATATCAAAAGACACACCAGGAAAGCACTGCGTGTCTCCTTAACTGTGCTTACTCGATTTTCTGACTTGGAGGTACAGATCTGATTTCTTTGCAATATGACTAAGGAACTTTGTTCTCTTGAGTCTGGCAATACTGGAATTATTTCCCAACACTGCCCTCCTGCCATCATCTTGCTGGAGGCTCACTTTGTCACTGAGAGATGGAACTGATAGTCATAACCAATATTCACCTCACCTGGGAAAAGCATAAAAGGAAGCAGAGCCCTTCTCTTTGCAAACATCTGCTGTCCTAGGATAGATTTCTCATTTTGTCCTTGCAACTTTAATTCTAACAGTAACTAGGAAATTAAAATGTAGAATTAACTTCCAGGGTGCCTCCCAGAGACTAGAAGCAAAGTAAAAGCTTTACCCCCGCCTCCCTCACCCGCCC